GTGGTGACCAACAGTTTGAGTACCATTGATTTAATACATTCTAGTATTTGAGTAAAAAGGTCTTCAAACGGCTGGGTGACCCTTCCCGAACCCAATCTCTAATAAAGGAGGGAGCCACCTGACATCTCAGATCACAGGGCATCAAGAGGAGTGTGAGCTCCTTGATGTAATTGGGCTTTTCTTTTGTTGGGCGTCTTGACAGCAGTTTCACTGAGCCGTGCAGTTATGTAATCATTTATCTGCAAATGATTACATCACAAACACCTTGTCTTGAATCCTGCCTGCGCACACACTACTGAACTGCCAGGAGTTCTCAGGCACGTCTTCACACCTGCAAACACTGGCAGCCCAGGCCCCTGGATCAAGCGCTTCTGTGATAATGGACTGATTCAAGTAGGCAAGAGGGTGCTGCTCTCTAGGCCAAGCACCCTCATTTTACACTTAAGAGAGCTTGGTGAGTTTTGACATTATTCTAGATTATAATACTGCAGAAACAAATATGCCTGGAGAGAGCAAGTGCTGTATCATCCCCAGCAGGGCTGATGTTCTGAGATCACATGAGGTGAAGTAGTGATCCTTCCCCCTTTCCTTATGCTCACTGTAGTGTGATGCTCCGTGCTCTCTGTGGCTCAGTCCCTGAAGCCACTGCACCCACATCTTTTAGAAATGTGGATCCTTCACACCTCCCCTACCCTGTGCTCCAGCACTCGCATAGACCAGGGGTTAAGAGAGTGAATTCACACTGAGAGGAAAAGAAGAAATGGAGGTAGGTTACTAGCTAAGAATATTTAAAATACAGGAAAATTATTTTTAAAAACAGAAAATTTAAAAAGCAGTGATACACAGAAATCTAATTTTTCTAAAATCATCAAAAACACGAGGACTTCCAATGTTCTGTAAGAAGAAAATATCTATGGGTGTGTATAAGTCATATTCTAACTACCATATTAAAAAAAAATCTTCAAGTTGAATAGAAGAAGGAAAAAGCAAAGGATTTAAAGTCAGCAGGTCTGAACTCAACTTCCCCCCTGGCTATTGAGTAGCTCTGTATACTTGGGATGGGCACATTTCTCCTCTAAAACTCAGTTTCCTCACCTTAAAAATGGGAGTAATCATCCTGTACTAGATCATCTATAGGGCTGGATTACAGGAGAGGCAGCAGGCAGACTCCATGAAACTTCAGGAACCTGCCACTTCCAGAGAGTGCCACAGAGAGCCGTCAGATTGGTTAACATGCTTATACTATGAAGTGTGCTACTCATTTATGAGCCCAGTATACAAAATGCCAACAACCTCTGGGGTCTGGGTATAAAAGATGATCAATTGTGTCTCTCAATCAGATAAAAGCAAATGGATCTGAACTATGTTAAAACCAACAAAGCAACAAACAATGCAAACTGGAGTTTGGAGTAACCCCAATGTTATAGTGTTCAGGGCACAGACTAACTTAAGGAGCTTGGCATTCTGGGTTTCTTTCATATTGCAGCTGTGCAACCTGACACAAATGAGTCAACACCTCTGTGGCTCACTTTCCTCCTTTGTAAACTGGAGATCCTGTGAGCATCCACCTCACAGTTGATGTATACAATAAATGCTCACACCACTGGCCGGTCTGAAATGTGCTGTGAATGCCACTATGATTGTCACTGCAGCCTGAGCTTTGGTGCGGATGAGTTCATATGAGGTTTCTTTGTAGATCTCACCCCTTAGGACTCTGGGACCCTCCTTTACTGTATTAAAAATTCGTTCGCCAGCTCCAGGATATTCTTGTTATAATTTCCCTTCCACTGTTTCTCTGCGCGCAGCCCCAAAGCCATGGGATTCAAGTCTGATAATGGAAATAACATGCTCCTCAAACTGTGATACATCAGAAAAATGTTTACTATTATGACTACTTCAAAAACAGTATCATCCTCCGTTTGTAGAATTCTTCAGATGCTTCAGGGAGCTTTCATGTGTTATCTGCTCTAATTCTTGTGACCGTCGCATGACATAAGCGAGGAAGAAGGGTTATGCTCGTTTTGAGGGGGCAATGATGGCATTGAGAGTTTATCCCCTTTGCCAAAAGTCCCACAATCACTGACTAGGTGAAAGTCTCTCTGAGATGGTGTAACTTGGCATCAAGCGCTCACGTGTTTGAGATCATATTGAGTAGACCGAGGCTCAAGACACACCTCTTCCAGCCTGAATGCTCACTGTGC